TTAATATAAACCCTTTGACTCTTTATTTATAAACCACCATTTCTCTTTTTTTTTTTTTTCTTTCTCCTACAGAAGGCCCCCCGCGTGTCGGGGCCCCAAACCCTAAACCCTAAACCCTAAACCCTAAACCCTAGACCCTAAACCCTAAACCCTAATGAAACCACCCAAGACGAACCTTCTAAACCCTAAACCCTAAACCCTAAACCTTTCCCGACTCTCCTTTGCTGCACCTTCTAATACAAATACCACCGTCAGCAACAGCAGCAGCAACAGCAACAGCAGCAGCAGCAGCAGCAGCAGCAGTATTCTATGCAGAGCAGGGGGCCCCCACATACAGGCCCCCTCGCCTCGGTGTGGGGCCCCTGAGGCGCTGGGATCCGATCCCAGCCTCAGGATGAGGCGAAAGGGTCCCCCAGAGGGTTTTCTATGGGAGACGCTGGGGGGCCCCCGGGGGGCCCCAGGGGCCCCCCACGGGGCCCCCCCCGGGGGCCCCCATGGGGGCCCCCCTGGGGGCCCCCCTCTTATTCGTGAGCTGCAGCAGATCGGGGAGGAGATGAGCTGCAAGGAGTGGCGTGTGGTGCTGAGTGTATGGGATTTGGGGTTTGTTGCTGCTGCTGCTGCTGCTGCAGCAGCAGCAGCAGCAGCAGATGCAGGGTCATCACCATCGTCAGCAGCAGCAGCAGTAGCAGCAGCAGCAGCAGCAGCAGCAGCAGCAGCAAGAAAAGAAACAAGAGGAGAGGTGCTGGAGGCCTCCGATGATAGCTTTGAGCCCTGGCCCCTCAGCTCTGACGAAGACAGCTTATTTGCTGACAGCAGCAGCAGCAGCAGCGGCAGCAGCAGCAGCAGCAGCAGCAGCAGCAGCAGCAGCAGCAGTAGCTGCAGTAGTGGCTGCTGCTGCAGCAGCAACTGCAGTTGCAGCAGCAGCAGCAGCAGCAAGAAGGCAGCAAGCGAGCTCTGGGGCCGTCCCTGTATTATAAATATACGGATATATAAAAAAGGAAAAGAGAGGAGACAAAGTAATGTTAGTAGAGACAAACAGCAGCAGCAGCAGCAGCAGCAGCAGCAGCAGCAGCAGCAGAAGCAGCAGCAGCAACAGCAGCAGAGGCAGCACGAAATAGAAGCAAACAAACGAGTAGAAACAGAAACAGAAAGAGAGACAGAAACAGAGACAGATAAAGACAAAGAAAAACACAAAGACAAAGAAGGAGACAAAGAAGGAGACAAAGACAGACTCATAGTTGAGGTGTCTGCTCAGTTTTGTCTCCAGTAAGCTTGTCTTTGTTTCTTTTTATTTTTCCTTGTCTTTGTCTTTGTTTCTTTTTATTTTTCCTTGTCTTTGTCTTTGTTTCTTTTTATTTTTCCTTGTCTTTGTCTTTGTTTCTTTTGCTTTGTCTTTCTCTGCGTTTATTTCTTCTTGTCTTTGTCTCTGTTTATTTGTCTTTGTCTTTGTCTTTGTTTATTTGTCTTTGTCTTTGTGTCTTTGTCTCTGTGTCTTTGTCTTTGTTTATTTGTCTTTGTCTTCGTTTATTTGTCTTTGTCTTTGTGTCTTTGTTTATTTGTCTTTGTCTTTGGTTTTATTTGCTTGTCTTTGCCTTTTTGTTTGTCTTTGTCTTTGTTTCCTTTTCTTTGTCTTTGTCTATTTGTTTTTGTTTTTTTGTTTGTCTTTGTCTTTGTCTTTGTCTTTGTTTATTTGTCATTTTTACATATCCTTCTTTTTATATTTTATTATTTATTTTTCTTTCTCTCTCTGTCTTTCCCTTTTTTTTATTTTTTATTTATTTTTATTTATCTCTCTTTTTATATTTTATTTTTTTATTTTTCTTTTTGTCTTTCCCCTCCTTTCTCTTTCTATTTATTTATTTTTTATTTCTTTTTAGTTTTATTTTTCCTTCTGTCTTTGTCTTTGTCTTTCTTCTTAATTTATTTTTTCTTTTGTCTTTGTCTTTGTCTTTGTCTTTGTTCAGGGGTGTCTCCCCCCGCTTTACTTTATTAGCAGCTGTGGGGTATCCGCTGTCTCCTTTTCAGTCTCTTCTTGCTGCTGCTGCTGCAGACCCTCAAACCCTAAAAGGGGGCCCCCAGGGGGCCCCCCAGGGGGCCCCCTTGGGGGCCCCCCTTGGGGCCCCCCAGGGGGCCCCTCAAGGGGCCCACCATGGGGGCCCCCATGGGGGCCCCCATGGGGTTGCTGCTGCGCTGCAGTACAGACGGCAGCTGCAGCAGCAGCAGAAGCAGCGGGAGCAGCAGCAGCAGCAACAGCAGCAGAGGGATCAGGAGCAGCAAGAGAAGCAGCAGCAGCAGCATGTATTACATGCAGATATTGCTGCTGCTGCTGCTGCTGCTGCTGCTACTGGTGCTGCAGCAGGAACAGGAGTAAGAGAGAGGAATGATGGTGGTGTATATAAATGCAACTGCAGCAGCAGCAGCAGCAGTAGCAGCAGCAGCAGTAGCAGCAGCAGCAGTTGCTGCTGCAGCAGCTGCTGCTGTCTCTGTCATCTGCTGCTGCTGCTCCGTCGCTTATTAATAAATATAAAATTTATTTTATTTTTTCCAAAAACAAAACAAAAAGCAAATGCAGCAGAAATACAAATAGATGAAAAATATAAACAAAGAAGAAAATCCTCACAAGACCAAGTAATACTGCTGCTGCTGCTGCTGCTGCTGCTGCTGCTGCTGTTGCTGCTGCTGTTGCTGCTGCTGCTGCTGCTGTTGCTCATGATAATGCTGATGATGATGCCGCTGATGCTGCTGCTGTTGCTGTTACTCCCGATGATGATGCTGCTGTTGCTGCTGATGTTGCTGCTGTTGCTGTTGCTGCTGCTGTTGCTGCTGCTGTTGCTGCTGCTGCTGTTGCTGCTGCTGCTGCTGCTGATCGATAACTTGGAGTGTTCATCTGATGCTCTTTGCCTTCAGCTTCGACGCAAAGCCTTCTACAGGCGTCAGTACCAGCAGCAGCAACAGCAGCAACTGCAGCAACAGCAGCAACTGCAGCAACTGCAGCAGCAGCAGCAGCAGCAGCAGCAGCAGCACCAGCGGTCTCAGAGCGCCTCGCCCCCATGGTCACGTGAGCCCCTCAGCTCGCACCTGCGGCGGCCTTCTCACCCCGTCCCGTTTGCTGCTGCTGGCAACAGGCAGCAGCG